GTGTGTGTGTGTGTGTGTGTGTGTGTGTGTGTGTGTGTAGTTTGGCTTGAAAATTTAGTGTGTTGTGTGTGTTGCTAGAAACTATGGTATCATGCAGATAGAAAATTTAAGAATATGATGTTTTATATGTTAACTATTTATTTTCTCTTTATTTATTTAACTGTTGAGGTCTTGTGATCTACTCGAGTTTCCTCTCTTTACAGTTTTCTCTCTTTTTTCTCTCATGCCTCCTTTCTCGGATTTGTGAAGTTCGGGCGATTAGGGCTCTGCAAAGACATTTATGTTAGGTGTCTCCATGTAATGTATATTTACTAGTTTAGTCTTTGGCTTATTTACTATTATGCCATCTTAGAGTCTATTTATTGGGTCTCATTTGTATATGATGGGGTGTAACAGAATATAATAAAGGGAAATTAAAAAGCCAGTGCTTATCTTTCTCCAGACTCTCTTCTCTAAGTATACCTAGTTTTAATTTCTTTCTTTATTTCTTTATTTTGGTGTAGGAATTATGAGCTAGAGATGATTCGCACGATTGCTATGGATGTTACTTTCTGTGAATAATCTCATACTGCTTTTATCTTTCAAAGAAAGTGGTAGAATTCATGTCTTTTCAGTCTTCATCTGTCGAGAAAATATTACGTGTCTATTGTTCGAATGTTCCGACAACAGAGTGAATCACACAATATCTTGCACACAACTTCAGGTGATGGCTCAATTGATATTGTTTGAAATTGGAGAATATTTTTCAATAAAAATATAATAAATGGGGCATTGACATACATGTCACCAAGTTCCTGAGTATTTACATATCTAATAACTAAACTTTATCTTATCACATTTGTATCTATCAAATATTTTCATATCACATAAAAAAATATCATTGTTTTAACTTATAAAAATTGAAATACAAAATTTAATACATGAATAAGGTGAGTCAGCTGACATATGTTAAATCCATAGAAATTGAGTGGTATGCATGTAAATCTTCCTTTACACACTTGAGAGACTTCAAGTCTTATAAAAATTACTTCAGTTACTTACTTCCTTCGGTTTCTCGGAGGTTTAATGGTTATGGCCTACTAAAATGCTCTTAAATAGCATTTCCTTTGCAGTTATTTCCAAGACCAGTGGTAATAAAACAAGTTACAAAATTAAGGACGACCAACGTTGCATATAGTTTTCTCTTTTACATTTAAGCCAAAGTGTTGTATGCCTACATATAAGATGTGTAAATACATAAGCATTGTTTGGCATGTATGTAAATTTCCCTTGTTTTTAAATAACATTATAATATTAAATAATTTATAGCAATCATATATTTTTTTGTTCTTATATTGTGGCCTGATATTAACATATTTTCTATCCTCTTGAAGCTGGTGATTCCGTGTATGCGGTTTCACAAACGTGGGTTCTTTTACCAACACTTTCTTCTATAACCATATTTGCCAATTCATAAAAATTTGCCCAAAGAGCTGGTGGCAAGGGAGATGGTGGCGGCGGTAGAGACGAGCCGGCACTGGCCGACAACTGTGTGGAGATAAATCGGAGTGGAGGCGACATTGACAATACGAAGCAGAAGGTTGGGGGCAAGGGCAGTGACAATTACAAATAGGCAAGAAGCGGCAACAGACAACACTGACATACACCGACCTAATTTAATTTGTACAAAACAATATATCTAAAATTCATCTATATCAAACGACTTTCAAATACATTGAATATGAACCATAGGGTAAACTTCAAATGTATTGATACGATCATTTTCCTTCATATTTATTGCATTCTTCATTTATAATGCATTATGTAATATAAAATCTACTTTATTTATTTATACTTTCTTACATAATCATAACAACATGGTAAAATTATGTCACTTATTATATAATACTTTACGAAATTTATGTAATTTTTTTTATTACCGAGGAATAACTTTTGCCTTTATACATCATAAATTATATTGATATATTGTATATATTTTTCTTATAATGATGCAATCGTTGTCATGGAACTTGTAACATGAGATAATATTTATTTAATGTATGCTTATATATGTATGTTGTATTTATTATTGATAAAATGCTTTTGGATGGAATAATGGGTCTTAAATAAGACTAGTCCTTTGAGAGTTAGTTGATTTTCTAAATTTCTAAAACCCATCACAATTCAAAGTGCCTTAGTAGAGTGATTATAAACATGTTATTATAAAGATAATATAATATTAAATAATGAATCATTTTTGTGTTTAAACATCTTATGCAAGAATCAAATAATAATCACATGAATGTTTGAGTACATTATTATATCATAAGTGTCATTGAATGATTACCATATTTAAAGATCTTATCTTGTGTACATTGTCTATAAGTATTACTATATAATTTTGCGGTACTACTTCTAGCATTCTCATTCATCATAATTGATTTGTCACCAAAACAATTAAATGGCGATGCACGAACTCAAAAGTTTTTTGGGTAAAATTTCTTCCTAATTCACATTTGGGATCATTCTAGCTCTGATTTGAATAAATTTATACTTAAAACAAATATCTCGACAATACAAGCCTAATGACACTTCAAGGGATCCAATTTGAGTCCATATAAGCCCGAATAAAACTCTTTGAAATGTAGTTGAAGGCTTCTGTGCATTAATTAAAAGGTTAAATAATATAAAAAATTGGCATACTTATAATCAAATTCAGCTGTTTGACGAGATGAAACTAATGAGCCTAAGATCATTTAATTTGTGTAGTTGTTAAGACACTTAATAATTAAAAAAAATATGCGTTTTCAAAGATATCAATGTTGATAGTTTCACGAGGGTTTAGATTCTCACTAGAGTTATTGTAATGCCCCTCACAAAAAAATATAAATGATCCCTCATTCTTGACCCGAGGGGGACTGTAGAAAAATAGAAGATTGAGCTGACAACTAAGCCATAACTCTTGAAAAGAAGTGTAAAACCAATTATTACTAACAATCATTAATCATTACAGGCAACAGTTATAACCCAACTACTTCTATTATAGCCCAACTATGAATGTTGTAGCCCAACTACTAATATTACAACCTAACCGTGACATTTATGGTCCAACTATTGATATTCTATTCCAAACTACCCATATATAGTTGTACTTGTGAGGTTATCTTAAAGCAAATGTAATTTTAACAAAATTTTGTAATCTCATGTTCCCCAATTAAGGTGAAGAATAAATGTATGTACTAGGAATTACAGGGTAGATTATTTTGATTGGACCATGCCTCGTAATTTTTTACCTAAAGTTTTGAAAGTCTTTACTTTATTTCCAACTAATATGCCTACTCATTCGAGCAAAAAAATTTACATTTCTAGCCATTTTTTGTAAGCAACAATCAACAAATTAATAATAATACATAATGATGTGTGCTTGAAAATTCATGGCATTAGAGTAATGAATTATTGTTTGAGCATTGCATGAGAATTCAACATGCTCAAATAACCAATGTGACAGACAAATACACCAGAAATTGTTACACAGAAAACTAAAAAAGAGAAAAAGATCATGGGGCTTAGCTAAATCAGAACAATCAACTATGAATTGTTGATTACACACACATGTCATTGTCTCACTACACAGTTCTTCAAGATACAATATTTGTTGCACAATGGTAAGGAGTGGTTACAGTTCAGAATAGTTATTGGAACTTCAGTACACTATCTTTAAGATGTATCACTGCACGGTGTACTAGATGATGTATTGCTTTGTTGGATGTTTCACTATTTAACGATGAAAGTTGAAATTTCACAACACACATTGTGACTCTGCATACGCAGTGGTCAATGGTGGTTGTAGTCAATAGTGTTTAGCAGGGGCCGACAAGCGGTGGTCAATAGTAGTGGGCAGTTGCAGGAGCGGGTGGTGTTCATTGGACCTTCAATGTAGAGCACAGGGGTTCAACTCCTCCTCTAAGCTTCAGTTCCCTTTTGGTTTAAGGTATAGATTCATTCTCAAGGAGAGTTGTGATTTTTATAGAGTATGGGAGAGGCATTCATGCACTTCATCAGAAGACCGAGAGAGGTTCCCTAAATCAGACGGGTATTTTTGAAAATTTGAGTGTCTTAATGATGTTAAACTGAGTGATCTTGGGCTAGTTGGATTTGTTTCGTCGAGAAGCTCAATTCGACTATAAGCTTGTCAGATTTGGAATTTATTTGACATTCCTATTGAGCACTAGAAGCTTCCAAAAATGTCTTGATGGGTTGATGGGGCTTTGATTTGAATCGAATTATACCAATTTTGGTGTCATTATGTTTGTCTCGTTGAGGTGTTGTGACTATAAGTTTATCGAAATCAAAATTTTGGATGTTTTTTTAATTTAGGTTTGAATGTTACTTGCTTAAAAATTGTCTCCAGATTCATGTCACGTCTCGAGATTCATATCCGATGATTAAATTTGTTGATGGGAAGTTAATAATGTATCCATATCTACAAGAGACTCAAATATAATATGATATAGAGAAGGCTATATTTCTTATTGAAAGTATATGATATGATTTTTAATATGATATTATAATATCATTATTTTGTGTTACAATACCAAATTATTAATATATCATAACAGTAAAACGAGTTATCATCTTAATTTTATATGCCAATCCTTCACATTTAGATAAAAATGTTTAGAAGATAACAAAATTTTTATTTAAAAAATTAGGAAAAAATAAAAAAATAGGAGACCAAATCTAGTTGAAATGATATAACTCATA